TTATTCGCATGGACTAGATGTGTATTAGATTGTAGTCAATAACGAAGCCCTAGTGTTAATTTAAAGGAATCTGTTTGTAAGTTTTCATACACATCAGACATTCATTTTCTGTGATACAAGCCAAAGTTAACAGAAAAGAAATCCTTCAGAAAAAGAATGTCTTTCATAATTTCATCCATTTTAGTAACACAATTAATTAATATAAGTATGTGTTTAGGCTTTTGTCTTACAATAAGACGTTGTTTCCCAAATCAAGTTAATAACTAGGTAGAAACCAACTTTATCATGGAGGGAGAGATGCTTTTATATGTTGTTTAATTTATTTATAAGCCACCGAACTACTGCATTAAATTGACTCTTTATTTATGTAGCTTTCTTAACTACTAGACTGGGGAAGTAGGTTACCTAACTAGTTTGTTTGTTCTTCATACGGGTTAATATAATAGGTATAAGAGTCTTGCTATCAAAATTTCTAACCATTTGTTTTTGCTAGTTTGACATTCGTTTCAGCCGTTTGACGTCCACTGCAGGACAAATGCCTTCCCCAAGGATACCTCTGGTACTTACATCGAGTTATAATTTAAATTTCGCAAATAGCAGCACAGACCTTTAACGCCAACCAAAAAATAGCTTAATTAAATCATGAAAATACTCGATACAATATCACGGAACTCCCTACGTATAAATAAATAAATCATTAGTAGTTTACAGTTGTTTTCATTAATTTTGTAATCAAGTCAACTAAAAGACGTTTATTACTAAAACCCAAAACAATTTATATTTACTGGAACAATGGCACAATTGGTTCACAATACGGAAACTAATTCGCTTTGTTGTGGCTTGTTTAGTTAGTAGGGCCGAAGACGGAGGCGGCAAATTAACAATGTGCCAAAAGCACACGTGTTGATGTATTGTTATTATTAGTTGGAAACATAGTAAAATACTTTAGCGACGTGTGGGCAGGCCCCCCACTAGATGAACCGATGATCTGGTGAAGGTCGTGGGAAGTACCTGAATGCTATCAGCACAGGAACAGTAGTTATGTAGGTAAATCCTTGGGGGAGGCCTTGGTCCAGCGGTGGACGTCATTAGGCTGAAACAAACGAATTTTAGCGAAGCAAGCACATTTCAAAGGCTCATACAAAAACTCAGTCAAAAAAGCTGTAGGTAAAGTCCTAAGTTGCGAGAAAAAGGCGTACCCCTGATATAACTTCAATGTAAACTAAAATGGCACTTTCTAATATCTCCCAACAGTCATTACTTCCCATAGAGAGCTTACTTTTACTTACGACGTTTAATATTAAAATTTGCAGACAAATAACATTTAATTGTAACAACGCAGGCGTTATTAAGCCGTTTACAGGCTCAGGCTGAACGAATACTCGTTGGAAATTAAACACTCCGCGCTCACGCAAATTCGCGGTTCTCCTGAATATTCAACTAGGGTTAGAGACACGCACATTTATCGATAACGAAAGATACACGTGTTAGCGTTTATCGATAGTTTCAATCTTGCACTCGCGTGAAATCGGTTAGTTTCCTCTTTTATAGCAATGCAACGTAAAGCTCAATATTCGAATCTTTAGATCACGTTTCGATTTCCAAGTGTGTTCCATCGCCAGTTCAGATAGAGCATATTCATTTTAGCCTGAAAAGTTAAGTATACTTACTCGTACATCAATTTTCTTGTATAAAAATAAAGTACTTAGTAAAATTATTTTTCGGAAAGCACGTAGGAGTCACCTTAATGAGCCACGTGTAAATAATGTGTAGGAGGTTCATTAGTTTGACAAAATATTACTGATAGTACTATCGATACAAATTAATATGGACCTCTCTATAGGTGATAATACGCAACACCTTGCGACCTCGCCATTTGCAACTTGACGCTTCCTGATTAAATGATTAGGCGCTCCTATATGCCTGATGGAATTTGAGGATTTGATCTTGACACAATCATAACATGTGTCTTTTAATTCCTTTGTATTTTAAATAAATTAATATATTATTATTTTTTTAAATGTACACTCTTAAGCAAAGTAATCTTGCTCTTTAAATCCACAGGTAAATAGCCAAAGCGTTGTCCTTACATACTCGTAGGTGAAATAAAAAAACGCGGACCAAAAATATAAAGCATTATCACAAAAAGCTTAGTTGTACTAACCTAAAGCCATTTCGGAATTTATGAAGTCATTAATAAACCGATAGAAAGCCAGAGGGAATTAAAAATGCCAAATCGCTTTTGTACGAAGATAAATGCTACCAAGTGGTAACTTGGCTGCCATCTGTTTGGGCTGCTTATCAGGTCCACTGGGATTTGTGCAAACTTATATTACTGAAGTGCAGACAAAAGAAAAAATATTTGTTTTTACAGCTAGGACCACAATGCCAGCTGCGGTTATGGATTTGAATCCCACTGGGAGCAATCCCGTGTGATAAGTATTTACACTGGGAGTTAAATACAGGTATGTGTATACAGGGTGGAATCTTGTAATGCCACCTGAAGGAAAAGTACTCTTAGTACTGTGGATAGAAAATTTTACTCAAAGAAAACATTCCTTTATTTTTGAAAAGAAATAAAACTGCATTCAAAGAAATCTTCTTATTCTTATTCTTACAGGGTGTAATTTTTAACAGATTTTAGTTGGTTCAATTCCTGGGTATGACAAGCAAATGTTTGAAAATCCTTGAAGGCAGTTCTATTTCTTTTAGAAAATAAAGGAATGTTTTCTTCGAGTAAAATTTTCTATCTACAGTATTAAGAGTACTTTCCCTCCAGGTGGCATTACAAAATTCCACCCCGTATATTCTCATTACCTATATAATGTCATTACCTATCTATTTCCGTATAATGGACGTCTCTAGACTCTACGGGAAAAACCGTTAATTACTTTGGGACTAGGTCACTCAGTAAAAAGTGCAATAGTTAGTGCAAATTAAGCATGTAGTGGATGTCTAGCAGTGGACGTCATTTGTCCAGCAGTGGTCGTCATTTATTGTCCAGCAGTGGACGTCATTAACTTAAAACAAATGAACGAACGTCCTATACCTGAAATGACAATGATCGTGATGGTGGAATATGACATTACCCCCGTTTCTTCTAAGATAGTTCTTGCCAAAGTACGTCACCAAAATTCTTCACTAGGGATTAAAACAATCCGCTGCGTGAGTGTGACCTTGCTCCCTCAGGACGCCCCCAAACAGGATAAGTGTGCGGTGCGAGCTATTGTAGTTTGTTACAGGAAAATGTATCTTGTTTGACCTACATATAGGCAGAAGTTTTTGTAACCAGACAGTTCGAAATAGACATTATTAGCACTAAGTATAACTAGAAGTGACTAGAGACTAGACTAACATTTTATGAATAAAATCTAAAAATATAATCTATTATGTAACCGATTGAGCGCTTTCAGATATTTTAAAGGCATTTTTGTCGCGCGACTGTGGCGCTTCTAAGTCGCTTCTAAGACTCGTATACATATCTAAGTAGCGCTGCAGCAGCGCCTATATGTGAAAGCGCTCTTAGCTAATTTAAATTGTAATTAACTTCATGATGTAGGTCAATTGAATTGTAAAATGTATTTATAATTCATAATAATCCTCATTACCAGCACCTCTCGCATCACGCCGCTAATAAAACAGGTAATTAACACCGAAGTGTCCATCCTTGTCAATAATTAGGTTAAAGGGTAATTAATCTCTCACTTTATAACACTACAAACATCTCAAACAAACGGAAGAAGTCGAAAATTTAACGACTGCTATAAAATATCCAAATATAATGACACTAAAATCTATAAATTCCTGCACAGTGTGTACTTATAACCTAAATGACTGATTTTAAAGTTAGGCACCTTAAATTCGGTCGCACATTCTTTAACTACAACGTTATAATTATTATTACCTACTGACGGGATTGCTCCCATGTACCTTAATTTTGAGTTTCCAATATTTCGGCACCGTTGCAAGCGCCATATTACTCCGTGACCATGCAATCCCGTCAGTAATAATAATTATGAAAATGACCATGAAGGTTTAATACAACGTAATAGAACTAAATGTACACAAACTCGTTACACAAACAATACGATGGCCCACTTCATTTGGAAGTTAATCAATTTCATTGTTCACTGAAAAAGGGATCGAACCTCCCGTGGGATAGAAGAGCTGGCAAACATGTACCTACTAATAATAACGAAGAGACATGGCGAATAAAATTTAATTTAGGTTTCAGCTCTGAGGTATTGAAAGTTTGTTTTCAGTATAACACAGGATAACAAAGGGGTTAGGGTTAGTCTACATTTTGGTTTGTCAAAATGAGGCTATCCTTTCTCTCGGCTTTTTCAAATCCCCTAGTTCACTCACCGTATCACCAGTGTGTCATATCATATTAGTATGTTGATTTAAAATTTACTACCGTTTCTTTCATTTGTGTTTGGTGTGATGTGATTCACTAAATAATAATCTTTAAGAAAATAGCTAGTGATCTATTCTTACGATGATCATGGCAACATAAACATGACGAGCTAGTTTAAATACCCCAGTAGTACAACCAGTTACTTGCGTAAAATTTTTTGATTGCTTTCCGAACATAGGGAATATTAGAACCTTTACAGCACCTTACATCGCTGAGTTTGTAATCGCCTTAACCTAAGTCTATACAGTGTATGTTCTAGGCCGAATGCCTGTAGCAAGGATGCCCAAGTTGTAATTAGTTTGGGCGCCTAATCCTGGCCAATCCCTAACACGGCTTACCTGGAGCCTCAATGTTTCACCGCTACAACGGTGTTTAGGAAGAAATTACAATTAACTTAGTCTTTACAGAAAATTGACTCGGATTTTAGTTTTGAATTGGAATTTTTCTTATTAACATTTTTAAATATGGATACTAAAATACACAGAGTAACAATGCAATAACATGTTTATTAATAAATTAGGTATGAAATGATTTTAAGTTATAAGAACCTTAAACCGTATAAAATATTTGAGGATAAAATCTGTAAAGCTTTGGTCACACTGTCTATGCGTTGCGTTTATGTTGCGTAGTACTATTGATAATAAATTACAATCTTTGCAGATAGCAGGGCAGACAATATTAATGTTACAGACAGATCCTTCTTTACAGATGATTCCGAAAAAAATCGGTTCTCCTTATTCGTACGGTCGTACCACATCACTACTATACTATCGCACTAAGTAATCGTCATTTGGTCGCAATATCAAAATAAATTACAAGTACTAAAATGTTGGTCACGCAATAGAATAAGATCTTTTGAACACTGCGTGTTTTCTTCTGCAAAATTTTCTTTTATACCGTCTCCTTGTAGGAAATGCTTTGAATCTTTCACTGTTCGTGACTGTCTCCACAATCTGCAGCCATGTCTGGTCCAGATCTTCTGGTAGCTTATCGTTAATTAAAATTATCGGCATAGTTAGCCGATTTTCAGGTTCTATTTTAACTTTATCTTCTATAATTGCTGGATTAACTTCCGCCCAGTGTTTTTGATGTGTTTCTTCAAGCGGATCAATATTGGGTTCCTTATCAGTTATGACAGCTATTTCGATTGGGTTTTGATTTGGTTCAGGCGTTTGAGCTTCGTTTTCTGACGCTTCCATCGCTTCTGCTCGTAGTGCTGCCTCTGCATCCAAGAGCATATGCTGAAACAAGAAGTAATAGCAATTACGAAACGCAATTTCAAAAAAGGATTAGTTGGGTTTCAAGTGCAATCATACTATAATCCGTGGATTAAACCATAAAATGTAAGGACTCAAGAATCTTACAAGCCATTGCCAACAAATCCAGAACATTTTAATTGTGGTTATCTACGCGTGGTGTGGAAAATACACTATTTCTAAGTTTGAGAAGTTTAACTATTTGGGAGACTAGAAGTTCTCTAAGTATTTTAATTTAGCTATGCCTCAACTTCTAAACAACTATGCATAAATTCAACCTCGACGGCTGCATCCCCGAGGACTTAGTGATGACGTACGCTAACTAAATCCAAATTAAATTGCTGTTCATCTGGGTATATGTACCTACTAGGATAAAGCACGGGAGATAAGAAAACTGTAAGTACATTAATTAACGTTTCGTCATCATACACTAAATTAGGCACTAATCTACACTTAAGAATAATTGAGGGAAGTGATTGGTCAGTTTCAGGCTTAATCTTAAGTTTGAATGCACTTAAGAACGAGGAATAGCCTGCCATTTCGTACACCATGTTCTTTCAAACTCCTTTGGTCATTAGTCAACATCCTTATGTATCTAGACTATCGTGATCTTTCTTGCACATTATTCCTATTATGTATCTACCTGAAGCTAGAAAAGTACCTACTAACTTTAAAAGAACAAAGAATTTAAGTACTTATTTGAGTGCATGATGATGTATTTAAACTTTCACCGTTAATATTAATTTAACAAAACGTAGGTGGTATATTTTAACAAGAAAATGTATTTTGAAAGCGCAGACATTTAAAACGTAGGTTGTAAACAAGTGGGATGAAGTCTTAAAATTATTGATTTAAATGAATAAAGTTTAAAAAATATTTTTCTAGAAAACTGTAATTAATGTTACTACAGAATGGGCTTTAACTCTCTCCTATTGTAAAAAGTACCTACAACTCGATAAAATTCAAATTCCCGATAAAAATGTTTCGGCCAAACTTCAACATTTCTTAGAACTCATTAACGCGAGCTTATAACCTTGAAAATTTCTGTAATTTTCAAACAAAGCTAGTTTATATTACATTGTTTTATCTTTAAAACAATCTTGTTAACTGACATAACTAAGGCTGAGTTGCACCACCTAACTTTGACCGTCTATGACGATAACCGGTGTTTTTTGTATGAAGTTTGACAGATTTTTGACGTTTGTCCGAGTTAAAGTAAGATGGTGCAACCCAGCCTAGTCAGTAATTTCTTTGTGTACTTTTTATAACTAGGCCGAAATATTTTAGCTGAAAGTTCTTAAATAACGTAGGAATTATTTACTTCTCTTTATAATTTTCTATCGTAAAGGTATTATAGTTGTACCTATTGTGTTTATACTTACAAGATATTTTTTCTGAAGCTACTAGGTATATGGCCTATTTTTAACTTTACCAATAATAATAAATAAATGATCTAGTAAATACCTCTGTATTTTGATTTGGGCCAAAAGTTCAGCTCGGAGAAAAAGTTAGGCTGTTAAAATAAACGCCCTTGCGTACAAAATTGCGTAGTCACTTTCTTTTCCGAAGTTGTTATGGCGATGTTTAATTTCTGTAAAGAGGATCGTTAACTTTAATATAAAGTTGAATGTTTTGAGTTTTCTGCTGGGATTAAGGACTTCGTAGTTTATAATTTTCTTTGTAGTTTTACTTTGTATTGAAGCGTTGAATCATTAAGGACCCGTTTTAGAGTTTTATGTTTTTATGACTCGCGAAGACTCGAATTTCATCAGCTACCAAACATTACAAATGACCGTAGACCACATTCACACCGCCGAAGCTTATACAGGGTGTTAGGTAAATGGGTATATGAGCCGACACTAGCCCATGTTAACATGGGCATATTAATGACATACCATTATCACCATAGTGAAGTCAGAAATTCGATATCATCATTTTATTTTATTTTTATTTTCATACAAAATAAAATTATAAAATCCGATTTGTATGAAATTTAAAATAATTAAAATGAAGATATCAATTTTCCGACTTTGCCATACCATTTATATGCCCATGTTAACATGGGTTAGTGTCGGCTCATATACCCATTTACCTAACACCCTGTATAGAAGTTTGAATCCATGCGGCGCCGTACGAAAAATACCATAGTTTTTTTAACCTTCCAATTTAGACAAAATTTGGGTGCATTCACCAGGCAAATGAACCCATATCGCGACACATGTTTGGAAATTCCATATTCCAGACCTGGAACCGATTAGCTTGGAATAGTGCCAATGGATGATTCATCGCAGTTCCATAAACGTTCCAGTCACGTCCAAGCCTCGGATAACCGATTGTGATTCAACTTGCAATCGGAGAGTGATTCTGGAACCCGCAAAGGACCCGACATTTCAGTGTTAAATCGATTACTTAAACTACTTTTCGATAAACGATTAGTTGTTGTTTCAATTATTGGTAGAGGTTGATCTTTAATTGTGACGTTGTTGTAAAGACAAAAGTGAGACTTTGATAGCTTACATTTCGGTTAAAAGATAAGTAAAATAATTATATAGCCTTTGAGCTACTTAAACTTTTTGGCGTTAGAAAGTTACAATATCCATCTCTCCATCCTTACCAACTTAATTAAGTATGTACCCAGATAAAGGAAATATGTAGACACGAGTATAATAAAAATTGATGATGTTGAATAATTATGTATCTCATTTGTTGCCTTTCCCTATGGAAATTCAATTTATTTATAGATTCCTTTAGCTCCTCGCACACTGAAAGTATTCAAAAGGCCTCCCTTTATACGCTACATGTAAACGATTTTGGGTAATTTGATTGAATTCACGCTTAACCGCCATCATGAAACCCGACCGTTTTTGCAAATGCCTTAATTTTATGCATTAGGTACGACGTAGTTAAATAATCAAAATGGCAATGCCAGATTTTGTATGGAAGGTGGCGTCTTTTTTTTTCGCGCTGCCATCGACCAAATTTGTTTTTTTATTACAAAATAGTGTAATAAACCAAACTTACTATGAAATGTAAACCTCTAAACTCAGTCTGAACTGAGTTACGAGCGTTAGAAGTTTGATGATTTTACATACTAGATTTGCTTTTTGCGCGCAAGTTTTGTAAGAAATAACAAAGTGTACGTGATCCAAACTGGACTTGCCTGCGCGGTAATACGTGAGTAACCCGTACCATACTCGTAACTCATCCAGCGACACTATCGCAACAACTTCGCATACAACGATGCTCCGGTCACCTGCAAAGTCAGCATCTACTACAGACCTCCGTTCTCTCTCTCTTGAGAATGAGGTCGATATTGATAATCAATTGCAAAACATCAACACACGAAAGCGGGTGAAACTTGACCAAGATGTCTCGCCAACAAAATTAGAAGACATGATGTTTCGTATGCAAAAATCGTTTGATGAAATCAACAAGAACATCAACGACGTCGTCAAAGTTGAGCTCAGTAATTTAACATCTGTCTCCTCCGAAATTAAGGCGGAATTGAATTCACTACGACGGGAGAATACTGAATTGAAAAGCTCAATAGAAGCAATGTATGCGCAACAACAGGAAACAGTCGCTTTGGTGACTGACTTGCGTGCATCCCTCGACTTCACCTCCAACCGAGTCGACATCTTAAATAAACGGGTAGACAAATGCGAGGAACACTGCAAGCGTGATGATGAACTAGCAAATGAACTAAAAACTACAAAACAGGCGTTAAAAACCATAGAAACCGACTTAAATCGCCAACAACAGCGAGATAGGCTACTAAATTTGGAAATAACAGGAATCCCCGAAGCTAAAACAGAGGAATTACCAATTATTTTTCAACAAATTGCTACGATATCTGGGGTATCCCTCTCAGCTGATGACTTCGAGCATATCAACCGCGTACAGCCCAAACAACCCGTGAAGGGCCGTCCGCGATCCATTGTTGTCAAACTCAAGAATCGTATCCACAAAGACAACATCATTGCTGGGATACGTAAGCGCCGTGGAATCACTACCAAAGACTTAAACTTGCCTGGAGACTCAAAACCTGTATACGTAAACGAACATCTGACCACCCAAAACAAACTTCTGTACAAAAAATGCAGGGAGGTAGCAGCAAATAAAATGATAAAGTACGTATGGATAAGACATTGCAACATATTTATGCGCAAGGATGATACATCACCGGCGGTACTAATCAACGCCGAAGACGATTTGAAGAAGTTTCGTTAAAATGCATGCCCTTTGTTTAGGTAGATTGTGGTATTTGCAATTATTGTTATTCATAGTCATCTCAGGAATCTTTATGTTTGTCATACTTTCACCTACACTCATTCAAAACCACTTTACACCTCCTCATTTTATGAAATATATTAATGTTGAATACACCTTTTTAACACTTCACCCTACGCCTACAAACACACATAATCACTGTACATCACATTTTATTAAGAAGCTCCTACCCGCTGACTCACCCAATCAATTACACTACGAGTATTTTACATTTCACTTAACTAAACCACAAAATATAACTAAACACATAATATCTCCCATTCCACTGTTTAATTTTTTCACCCATTACCTACGAATATGCCTAATGTCCTACTTATTATCGCACAGCATCACTGGCGTAAAGCAAAATCATCTTACCTATCGTAAATCTGTTATGCACGTCTCGGAATGCATTGATTCTTGTCATCTGGCATCGCACGACTAGCTACAAAACATAATCATTTATCATACGTTTGGTTTGAACGCTGTGTTGTTGCTGTTTAAGCACTTCCTGGTATACAATAATATTATTATAATAAATGAAATAATCAAACAATCATACTTATTACTATTCTTGAACTTCCCACTATTGAAGAGGGTCAAACATTCTGAATATTATTCTTATTACACACGAGTATTATCACAGTCACGTAACGCTTTTTATACACTAGATTCGACATATTATATCAAGCTTTATGTACAGTCGCTTTTCTATC